AAACCACCCAAAACCTTTTTGTTTGCCTGTCTATGGTTAGGAAAAACTTGGGTTCTTGAACATGTATGTTTATCAATAAAAGTCCTAACTTGAAACATTTAGCAATCTTTTATCCTCTTTGCAATCATACGCCACTTACAGTTTTTGTCAATCATACACCTTGTTTCGAAACGATCTTTGCTTGATTTGTTAACTTTTAGTTGATATCCATCTTCCACACATTTCGTATGCAAAGCTATCTTCAAGTCTTCCTTTGTATCAAAACAATCATCTTTCTTGATACGAATAACTTTTATGTAACAATCAACTGCTATCTTTAGCAACTCTTCTTCCGGTATCTGAAGTAATTCTGGCATATTCCAGTTATACTCCCGTGGCATTTTCTTCTTTTTCCTTTCTTCGGGGACTTCTTCTTCTTCTTTTTCTTCTTCAGGGTTATATGAATTGCATAATGGATGTTCAACATATTCATTCACAGTCATAATTTCCTCCTCATTATCATCAACAACATCTTCCTCGACAGCGGCTGTTTCATCATCAAAATTCGGGTATTGACCATCAAAATCATTACATGCAGGGTCTGTTTCTTCTTCCATCACATCATCAAAATCTGAGTATTGACCAAGATCAAAGTCCAGGTATTGACCAAGATCAAATTTTGAATACTGACTAGTACTCATAATTTTTTCTGTTGGCTCATAATCGTCTAACTGGTCAATACGAAAACCGGAATTTGGTGCTGAAAGTTGATTGGGATTTGGATTAGGAAAAGGTTGTGGGTTTTGAGATTGTGTTTGGTATTGGAAATGTGGTGAAACAAAATTTGCTTGGCGATGAAATTGTGGTGGAACCATTAAATTTTGGGTTGAAGAACTTAGTTGATTACTACCCGCTAATGACCCAACTTCACTACTTCTAGGTTCAACAACATACAATGTAACATCATCTTCTTGTGAAACACTAATGTAAGCAATGAATCGTTCAACATCTTCATTTTCGGTTAACAAATAAACTTTACCTTTTCTCTGATAAGATAGCCTAAATCCACTTAAAGGCTCTAAATTCAATTTTTTGCAACACGTAACATTAGAGTTTCATAAGTTAACTTTTTTAATGACAGTTTTAGTTGAAGATTCATGGGTAAAGACACATATTGTAAAACACCATGAACATTCTCCCATGACCCTCCAAAACACAAATCTATCAAAACATGATCAACATTAGATGATTTCATTCTACAAATTGTAAATTAATTTACTAAACAAACGAGCTATAAACTAGATATCATCACTAACTTAGAGAAAAACATACCTTTATTAAGTTGATAGTTGATAATTTGGGAGAGAAATCATTGAAAAATTATATAGAAATAAAATTATGTAAAAAAAAATTAGAGATGGGGAAGGATGTCGTTGGATATAGGAACGGATGTCACCGGAGAGAATGATAGATGGAGATGGAATAAGTTGCGATTTAGGGATTTAGGTTATGAGTTGATGCTGCTACGTTGTTATATACCCAAAATATTTGTGTTGCGAAACTAAATTCGTGTTGCGAATTTGAAATTCAGTTGTGAATTTGACTATCGCGTTGCGAATTTGACTTCTGTGTTGCGATTTACAAATTCACGTTGCGATTTACAGATTCGCGTTACGAAAATGGAAACTGGGTTGCGAAATTGGAGTTCGCATTGCGAATTTGTTGGTCATTTTGGAAAATACAAAAAAAGTTAGTTAAAATCATATATTATAAGGCATTTTCGGCCACTGAGGTTATTTTCTCTTAAATTAAACAATTCTCAATCTCATTTACACATGATTAGTTGATTCTGCAACAGAAAATATAATACATTACTGCATCTAGCGTGGCGGCATCATAGTACCCTCCTACGGTACCGATCGGGGTTCGATTCACTAAATTCGTTTTTATGCCGTCTGCTGATAAACCATTCTTCGATTCCCCTTTGCCATTTTCTATTTATTTTTCAACTTAGAAGAATCAGTTTTTCTAAAAAAATTATAGAAATAATGATCTGATTAATATTAACGTATCAAATTTAAACTTATGCTAATTGTATTATCTATTTTTATAATATATATGCATATATTCAATATTTGTATTACATATGTCTATAAATGAGCATAAGCATACGACTCTCTAAATTATCAAAAATGCTTTTAAAGAAATTAAACCATGAACCTGAATAATGTATGTATATAATGTAGACATTACATTTTATCTCGACTAAAAGGAAAATGTCAAAGAAAGAGATAAACATGTCTAATTTGATTCTTTGTTTATTCAATTAACGAATTAATTTTGTTAATGTTGGATTTATAAAACTAATTATTATTTAAATTAAAATTAATCATTTTCAGTTATTTGCGATTTTGGGATTGTCGATAGACTTAGATCAAAATTTCATCAGGTCCGGACTGTTTTGTAATTTTTGAAATATTAGGAGTAAATTACTATAAAAGATACTAGGGTTAAATTTTTAGAGTTGCTTAAATGGTTTATGTGCTCCATAATTCTCTTATAAGTTTGGGTTCAAATCCCATTTTGGTCACTTTCTCATATTAAAAAAAAGATAAATAAATAAAAGAATATGCAAAAATTAAATAATTTAGTCCTTATCATGCTACAGAAGGTCAAATTATATTGTTCGTATATGTATTATGTATAACTTATGGAATTAGTCCTTAAATGTTAATTCGATCGATCAACCGAATAATGTCAAAAGTGGATGAAATGACTCTTTAATATTTTTTTGGAAGCTATAGAAAAATAGAAAAAAGTATGTAATAAATTAGAGTGGTTTGACTTCTAAACCAAGTCTATATTCACAGTAAGGATTTTCTCAAATCCACTAGATTTGTTTTCCTATGAGGATAAAATATAACATTACAATAATCCCTTAAAGTTTATATCCAAAACCTTAAGAACACTTTCTTAAAGAGAAATACAAATAAGCAAACTAAAATTTATATAGAAGTTTATTCTAATAAACATAATTTTTTTCATTAAAGGATAGAGGTTTATTGATCGATTGAGAATCTTCGATGAAATAAGAATCGAATGTGAAAGTCATTTTCACGGTATGTATATATATATATTAATAAAGCTCTCCGAAGACCTTCTTAAGTTTTTTTAAACTATCGATAGAGACTTGCTTTGATACTAATTATTAGCTCGATTGATCAATTGAATAATATCAATAGTAGGTGAATTGACTCTTTTAAATTTTTATAGAAGCTATAAAAAATAAATAATTTGTACAATGATTTAGAGTGATGCAACTTCTAAACCAGATCTACATATACTAGCTTAACTATATATGCTAAATGTTTTCTCAAATTCACTAAATATGCTTACCTTTGAGGATAATATGTAACCTTACAACAACAAACCTTTAAGATTTATTCTCCAAGACCTTTACAACAATCACTCAAATAGAAATATAAATACATAAATTGAAAATAATCCTTGCAATAACTAAACGTTTGCAAAAATAAACTCTCAACCAAATAAATATTTGAGTAATTTTAACAATGATCACTAATATTCTTACAACAAGAATAAGATAATTAAGTATTAAGAATTCATTTTTACGTTGGTTATCTTCTTAAGATTGTTTCTCATAATTGTTGAGTTGCTTTGAGCTTAATTTTATATACCATCTGAAGTTATCGGTTGTGAAAAATCGTCGGGATACAAAATGATCATTATATACAAAGAAATTAAATATTTATAACATGAAAGATCGATATTTTTATGAAAGATATCAATCTTTCTTTAATAAAATATGATTGTTGTCATTCAAGGGATCGATTCATCGTGAGAAAGAATCAATATTTTTTACTACTGAAATTGTAGGAATTAATTCTTTTGAAAATGATAGATAATTTTAATCTTAAAAGCTAGAAAACTTTTTTTCAGGTGTAAAGACAAATATGGAATATTTTGAAAATTTTTAGTTAAGTTGTTGAAAAGCATTTTAAAATGATTTTTTTAGATTTTTCTTATTTTATATTATTTTTTAGATATTTAATCAAACTTAAAAATATTTTTATAAATATTTATTATATTAAGATATTATAATTCATACTTCAACATTTAATTCAGTTAACTTTTATTCTTATACTTTTCATTTAAAATTTCAATTGTAATTGACCCTAGTTGCTTCTTCTTCTTCTTATTCTTCTTCTCTTTTTTTTAGTTTTTAAACTGAGTTAATTTTTTTCTTTGATTTTGTTTAGCTAGCAACATATCAGTTTTGATGTTAGTTGTCAACTATCGATTCGTCTTTGTAGTACATTTTTTTTATCTTTGTGACAGATTTTTCGTATTTTTTATCGATCGTTTGATCGATTTTTTTATTTTATATTTTCTCAAGGTTTGATTTGATGATGCCACAACTAATCAATATGACACTTATTTGTAATCTTGTTGATCTCTCATGCTATGGACCCTCATATTAAATTTGGATATGCGATTTCGCGTTGGTGAATAGTTTCTCTTTACTCTCTGCTCTGATTTGCGGATCTCTATGGTCTTTCAATAGCTTATTTAATCTCTTTTTGTGGTTTGTTTGCTGATGCAATCGAATTTGTTCATATTTATTTTTCGTTTAAGTCTTTTTTGTTAGGTTTTTAACATTTCCATGTATAGTCCTCACACGGTTTAAAGTGGTTAGTTTAAATGTTATAAAAAAATAACCAAATTATATATTTAATCTACAATAATAATTGTAGATTCGTATTATAATGATATTAAGACTAACGATTTTTATTTAAAAAATCAATATTAATCCAAATAATATAGAGACATGCCTTAAAATTATAAAACTGAACTAAATCTAGTAGATGTTCATCAGAAAAAGATTATAGAGTTTTGGTTTTGATGCGGATCATGAATAAAAGTGGTATTGGGTCCATTTGGCCTGTTATGCGCACACACGAGATTATAATTATTATTAGCCGAAACACACAAATTCCCTACTCTAAAACCCTAGTAAAAAAATCCACAAATCTCCAAGATGAGACCCTTAGACGAGAAAGAAACCACCGTGGTGTTTGAAAAGCTGTTCAAATTCACCGGCAACAACCTGAAGAACATAGTCGAAAACCCATCTCACGAGGGCCCCGACAAAGACCCCGGCCGCTACTGCTTCCGCCTCCACAAGAACAAGGTCTACTACGTCAGCGACTCGCTGGTGAAGCGAGCCACCAACGTCGCCAGACCCAAGCTTGCGTCCATCGGAACCTGCATAGGCAGGTTCACGCACGGTGGTAACTTCCATTTGACCATCGAGTGTTTAAACCTGTTGGCTACCAACGCCAAGCACAAAGTTTGGCTGAAACCCACCTCGGAGATGTCGTTTCTCTACGCTAATCATGTTTTGAAAGGCGGTTTAGGAAGGATAACCGAGAGCATTGCGCCTGGTGATGGGGTCGTTGTTTTTTCCATGTCGGATTTGCCTTTGGGGTTTGGGGTTGCTGCTAAGAGTACTCAAGATTGTAGGAAATTGGATCCTAACGCCATTGTTGTGCTTCACCAGGCTGATATTGGGGAGTATTTGAGGATGGAGAATCAAAGTGAGCAGCTAATTGAAGAGTGAATTGGGTATTTGTTTTATCCGGTAGTTTTCAGTTTTTTTTTCTGGTTTTGAGGCTGGATTTTACTATTACTCTGGGGAGCTTGGTTCAACTTGTACCCTGTTTTTTCTTCTTCTTATTTTATGTATTTGCTGCTTCTTATGTTACCATCAATTTGGCATAAGCTTTTTGTATTAGTCTAAATTTATGAGTGAGAAATGTAAGTTTTTTCTTTTATCATTATCGTTGCAATTTGTCTGTTGATTTATCTTAGGTGAAAATATGAAAGACTCAAATTTGGATTTTCATAACATTGCTTAACATTCTGCTCGGTATGCCGTTTTTCTTCTTGCCTGAAACATATAAATACCACGGGAATAAAATTTTCTGAGCTATTCTGAATTCCAGTTTGAATCCTTTGACGTTTAAGACAAATTAATTGTTTGGCCATCATAAGTCTCACACAAGACTATGTTTTGATTTTTGTTTTCAATTGTCTATATAAATCTGCAGACCATAATTATATCTACAATCATATGTTGAAAATATGGTTTGATTTAGTTTCAGATAAAATCTTCCTACAGGTTTTGGTTTGTTAAGATTACTTTTATCTGGTTCATATTATCCCAAAGTCCAATCTGTGTAGCAGTTTTCCAATGGATTGGTTGCCGATAGATTTATTCAATGATAGACTCAGCTATTAGTGTATTCTTTGTTTGTGTATTTTCTCGTATTATATTCATGTTTGAGGTGTTTCAATATATATTGTCTTGTCTAATATTATCTTTTGTGAAACTATGAAAGATTTGACTTTGGAATTTCATTACTTTGTTTAAGTTTCAGCTTGGTGGTAGTATAGTTTTCTTATTGCTTCAAACATATGAAAACCATTAGTCAAGATTGGAAACTGTGATTGTGCGAACAATTGGTTGTCTTTTGGCTTTCGCATCAGAAGTCTCACACAAGATGATGTTTTGATCTTTGTTTTTAAATTTAGTCCATGTGAATACAACTATACGCAAGATTCATGTTAATACAATTTCAGATGAATTTTTTTCTGGAGTTTTGTTTGTTTGTTTTGCATGCATTTATGTTCTGCATGATCTTGTATACTAACATCATTACACATGATCTTGTTAAGATTAGGTTTTCTGGGTTCATCTATCTCTATACTCAAATGTTGAATGTTTAAAAGTGTTCCAATGGACCTCGATAGCAGACTCGCGAATTCGTGCATTCGTATTGTGTTCATGTACTTTTTTATATCATAAACTTGTTGAAAGGTGTCTTGTGCATGTGTGTTTGTATAACTTTTGACAAGTTCATGTATGTGTCATGTCCGCAATTACTTGTTCTATTCGATATGTTCATCCTCTGATTCATATATTTAACACAAATGTAATATATATTCACAATATTCCACGCTTAAAAGATGCAAAACAAACGCTATATTGCTTCATATGCATGCACATTAATGTAGGTTGTCATTTCCGTGAATTCTTTTTATTTGATTGTGCCATTTCATGGAATGGTCTACTTACAATGTAACTTTTACTAATTCATTTCTTTGGTTAATTATTAATATATGATGCATCTAATTCACTCGCGTTCAATAAATTATGGAATATGTTGACCTGAAATAAAATTGATATTTGGACATTTTATCAAACAAGGATAATAATCCTGTGACAATGTATGTGTATATATATAATAATCTTGTTATAAGATTTTTTATAACGTCATTCTTTTATAAATATTGTTGTACCATTTTAGTATATCAAGACTTCCAAAAAAACATCTTTGCATTCTAGGCCTAGGAAGAACATCTTTGGACATAGGGTTTTTAGAGTCTTGCATCTCTCTCGGGAAGTCATGACCTTTTTGGTAATGACTTTTGACAAAACATCTTTGCAATGTAGGCATCGAAAGAACATATTTAGACATGGAGTCTTCGAAGTCTTACATCTCTCAAGAAATCGTGATCTTTGTTATGACTTTTGACAAGCATCACGTGATTTGTCAAGTCAAAATTGATTAACAACTAGCCACATCAACTGGGTCCATCTATCTTGTCATCATATGAATGGCCATCATGGTCTTATATTTGATATGAACATTAAAATCACTATAAAATCTTTTGATCAAGACTAAAAGAAGGGAGTGGGCTTTTTTCTCTTTACTAATCACTTATTTACCTCCTTATGGAGATGGAAGACTTTGACACTGACCGATAGTCATTTTACCAATGATTGCTACTTGTTCCTTAAATTAAAAGGGATAAATCACGTATGAACAACGTGACGTGTTTGTTCTTATCAATATATATATATATATATATGAATTAATGATTGATACCACATTCCAAATGTCTTTAGTACCTTATTCTCAAAATCAATGTGAATAGCCTAATTCTATCTTATTTTAATCAAAGCTGGGCATAATCCTAGCACTATATTATATATAGATAAGCAAAGCATTCTTTATTTAAACTTTTATTTTTAATTATATTCCTAACAAATAATTATAGAGATTATACCAAAAATTCCTTTCTCTAAATACTCTAAAAAAATTCCAATTGATCTCCACACAATTCCCCATTGAAATATACAACAAAACTTTTATGGACCCAATGAGTTTATATCGCTTCATTCTTTTTAACATGAAGTTTGTGGAGAATAAGTTCATCTACATTAGAGATCATTTACTAATAAAATATTTAGTGCACTAATACTATATAATATTATTAGTAAATTAGATGATATTGTTTTATTAAAATATTTTAAAAATATATATCTATTTTTAATTTTTAATTAAGTGATAAAATCCAATTCAGTGTTGATGTATGTATTTATAGAAAGTCGATGGATCAGTATATATATATAAGTTGGAATAAGGTGGACACTTCACTTTAAGAGAGAATTTTCTTTTTTGGTATCTAAAAATTGATCACTAAGTATGTAAGTGGAATCCAGTAGCTCATTATTACTTAGAAAATTAGATCAATTCTTGCAATGGTAAGTAGGGTATATCCGATTCGGTTTGGTTCGATGTTTCAAAAAAGATAAACTAAATCATGCTTTACGTTTTTTAAAATTGAAACCGAAACCAAACGACATAAAAAAATGATTTGCAATTCTATTTGGTACAATTTAGTTTGGGTTTGCGTTTTTTTAATTGTTCATTACTTTTCAAACTCAACATTCAAAGAAAGCAAACTTAAAGCTTAAATCGAGTGCAAAAATACAATTTTAAATTCATAAAAATATTATTAGTTTTAAGATCTAATTTATTTAAGTTTATCTTATTAAAAATTCAAAATAAATTTGTTTTAAATAATTATTTTTTTAATTCAATTTGATTTGAAATAAACGAATTTTATATTCAAAACTAAAATCAAATAAAATTATATTTTTAAACCAAATCAAAATTAAATCACAAAATTAAAAACTTGAATCAAATTGAACCATATAATTCGGTTTAGATCGATTTGTTCGGTTTCATTGTTCAACCCTAATGGTATCATCTTGGAACCTTAGCTTCAAAAATATAATAAAAAGATAAGTATCAATGTTTGGTTTTATATTTCATATTTTCATTTATTAATATTGTATAATATAATAGAGAATAATATAAGTGAATAAAACAATATTATCTCATTATTATTTTTATATAAATACATATAAAAACGGCATATTTATGAAAGCTATATTCATATATTTCAAAGAGAACATTAAACATTCAATAATAACATATTCTGTGAATCAAGAAACATTAAACTAATTAAGGTATAGAGATTCAAGAATATATACGTATTTTTTAGTCAAAAAAAGAATTTATACGTATTTATATTTATATAGGATGATGTTAAAGGGATCGATTTCTGGTTATTAACACCCGGAATCCAAGACAATTCATAGTGACGATAAGACGTTAATAGTAATTTTTGCATGTGTTTTACGATAAAGAAGAAAAACCCGAGAGCATGGGGAATATGATTAGGAGATCTTGGTCACGTGAAATGAGAATGGCAATGTCCGCTTTTGATGAAGTTAGGTCTCCGTTCATCGTAAACAAGGAGAAACTAAGAAACTTACGCAGAATTTTATTAAAAATACATATTTCTAAAATTTTAAGAAGAGACAAATTTATAAAGTTTCAAAGGAATAAAATAGATTTTTAATAAAAAAATATATATAAAAATCTAAAATATATAACTATTTTAAATTTTTAGAAAATGATTATCTTCAACTATCCCTCGGCCCACATCAATTACACTTACTGGTTTATTCCTAAAAATTTTGATATATGACAACTCAATCTTAATAGGAGCACAAACCAAGTGGTCTTAGTGGTAAAAGAATTGTCATTATTCCTTGAAGACCCGGGTTCGAACACTATAGATGACAAGGGTGTGAGTGATCAATATCGAAAGATTAAGAGTTATTTATAAACAAATATTATCATGTACTTACCCCAAATTAACCAAATAAACAATAGTAATTGGTAATGTTGCTTTAATTAATTACATAAAACAATTTAGTTTTTATGAACTAATTTATTTGTTTAACGATTTAAATAAAGATTAATTATTGTAGACTTAGATGATATGAAAGAAGTGCATAGGTCTTAAATTTGTATATGAGAATTTTGACCAAATGTATAATAAAATATGTAAATTTTAGGGTAGATTATTCAAATGACTATTTAATTATGGGGTTGGTATCGATATGACAATCATATTTTTAATTGTAACAATATGACTACATAATTATTTGAGTGGTTTCAATGTAGTCACTCACCATTAAAAATAGGTGGCATAGTTGACGACTGTTATTGGCTAACGGTGAGTCAAAGGTCCACATAAGCTAAACAATCTGTTTTTTACGGCAAGTGGCTACATTGAAACCACATAAATAATTATGTGATCATATTGCAACAATTAAAAATATGATAGTCATATCGACATAAATCCACAAGTCATATCGACACCAATCCATAATTAAGTGATCATTTAAGTTTTTTACCCTAAATTTTAACTTGATGCAATCGTATACAATTTTCACACATCATTTGTCATTACATTCAACTTGCAATGCCTCTATAAATGATGGTTTTGGAAATATTTAGGAGAAAATAGTAACAAAAAAAAAACAGTTAGGCCAAAGTTAGGAAAACCCCACAAAACTTCTCCCATTTCCCAACCATTCCCACAATTTAGAATTTTTTTTCTTTTCATTTTGGTCCCATTTCATTCCTTACAATCTTCACAAAACCCATTCTCACACTCACTTTCCCTTTGCTGAAATCTTCTAATTCCATTTACGTCGTTATGATCAAGGTTATATTTTTTTATTAGTCTAGAATCATTATAAGGTAATATTTGTTCATAATTTTTTTTAGCTATTAACAACGCACACACTCTCTGTAAACGTAGTTGTTCGAACTCATGACCTCTAGAGAAAACAACACTAAAAGTATGTATATAAATCTCATGTATAATTGAACATGTGACTTCTCTCTTTTTCTGAAAACCTTCCATTCTAATACCATTGTTTATCCTCTTCCATTTTATAGTCGCATAACTCTCCACATAAATGAAAAGGGATGAATAGTCAATAACCATATATATATATAAATGGATATTCATTTGTTTAATATGTAATACATATATAAAGTCATATTCGTTTAGGTTTCTGTAGAACTAGTCTCACACAACCCCAATTATATTTCTCTACAAAAACAAAGACAGAGATTCCCATTGTGGGGTTTATTTAAAAGACTTGCCAAAAAGAAATATGATTCCTTTCAATCCTCTTATGCCCACATTGTTTGTACAATTTGGGTGTCTCTAGTAACTTCGATTCAGATTATTTGATTATAATATGATATTATGATTGTTATTTTATAATTTATTTTTTATCGTAAATATTTATTATATTTAATCATGATAATCTATACCGACCGTACTTTAAATTTATACCGTAATTTTTTTTTATCATGAATATGATATTATGATTCCTTACTTTGGACCTACCTAACTATGACTAAACATCCCTATTTCATCCCTCAAGCCACCCTATATATATACCCTACAATCCCATCAACCCATGTACCCCATCTCCAAGAGCTAGCTTTGCTTTAGGCCACTATCGTCTTCTCTTTGGCTCCATCCATTAGTTTCAAGTTTTCTTCTTAGGCAACAACAATGTCCGGCGTTTGGGTTTTCAAGAATGGTGTGGTTCGTTTGGTCGAGAACCCGGGGACCGAGTCATTGGACAGGAGCCGACAAGGTTCCAACACCCGCAACAAAGTGCTTGTACACACTCCTTCCAACGAAGTGATCACTTCCTACGCGGTGCTCGAGCGCAAGCTATGGTCTCTCGGATGGGAAAGATACTATGACGACCCTGATCTCCTCCAATTCCACAAAAGATCGACCGTGCATTTGATCTCTCTCCCTAAAGATTTCAACAAGTTCAAGTCGATTCACATGTACAATATCGTTGTAAAAAACCGGAATGTGTTTGAAGTTAGAGATATGTAACAACACTAATTTGCATGCTATTGACCATCTTGATTTCTTCTTCTTTCCTTACATTTGGGTATGTAATGATGGATTTATTTTCGATTTTGGTATTTCTTTGTAAAATATACATGTTCTATAAAATTAATTATAAAACATGTAAATCATGTTCTATAAAATTAATTATAGTATACCAAACTTTTGTGAAAAATGATTTACAAAATATGATCAAAACACCGTAAATAGTTTTCAAAAAATATTTTCCAGAAAATGTAATTTATTTACGTAAAACAGTTTTCATGTAATTCATTTTACATAAAGCAGTTTTCAGGTTATCCATTTTCTGTAAAAAAAAAATCAGAAAACCAATTATAGTCTATAAAACAAACCCTAATTGTAATTGGAAATCTCATCAAAACAGTAATTTTTAGGTTAGATAGAATAGCATTTCAAGTTGAAATAAAAAATATTATCCTTTTCATAACATGTTTGATTGTAATCGAAATTATTATAAATTATATAATTTTTCGATTATAAACCCTAAACTTTATCTAATGTAAGTTTTTCATTGTAACCAAAAAATTATAAATTGTATAATCGTTTACATTAAATAAGATAACATGTTAATATGATTATTAAATATCAAAAGAAATAATACAAGAAAACAACGTAACTTTGATTAAAAAAATAGATAAACTGCACATATCAAGTGGTTAAGGGACTTGTTGTTATCCCTTGAGGTTTTAGGTTCGATCACCGCATATGTCAGGAGTATGAACGTTCATTATCAAATGATTGAGAGTATTTAGATAGATATTGCTTTGTTACACACCTCAGATTTATAAAAAAAATACAAACTAATTAAAAGGAGATTGATCTTCATGGGAAGGGTGAAAAAACTTTGTTGATGAAATGACAATTTCGAGGGACCAAGGGAAATAGGGGCAGAAAATTAGATATTACTTCCCAAGTTTTAGGAGCATGTTCTTTAAGACTTGGTCCTAAATTTAGATACACACTTGTGTGGAAATGAGCTTTTATTATTGCAGAGAAAAGCTCATAATAAAAGCTTCTTTTTATAGAGAGATCTTGTTTCTTAGTTTGAGTTATGGGAGATTGGAAAGCTCATTCCGCCAGTGGACGGAGGAATCGCAATTATAATATTTTTATATTTGTATTTGATTTAAGAGTCGTATTTATTTCTTTTAATAATATTATCTTTAATTTTTTTATAAAATATATAATACGTCCTATTCTTTTATTAAATACTTGTTATATATAATAAAAATTTTAAATTTTACAAATAAATATTAATAAAAACCCATCGCTTATATTTAATTAGCTTTCTAAAAGATGAAGGTTTTTTTTTTAAAAAAAAAGGAAATTGATGAAAAAGATTTTAAAAAATCTAATCCTATCAAATAATATCTTACAAAAGTAGATGGAAGTGTCAGAAAAGAACATGATGCGAAGAGAAAAGCTGCTTCTTTGTTATCCTATCCGTAACCTGCATGGGTCAACGGCATGAAATGAGAGAGACCTAACGACTTATAAAGTTTATTGGGAGAGTATTTGTTCACGAAAAAAAATATTATTAAAGAGAATAATTTTTTTAAAGTTATATTTTTAAGTTTGGTTTGAGAAAAAAATTATTATAATGAAATAATATTTTTTTAATAGTAGTATTTTTTGTTAAAATAGTGGGAATGATAATATCTTTAAATATTTAAGTATTAGACAATTCTCACCATTTTGAATAATAATATTCATAGATTAATGAATTCTTTTTATAATAATCCTTTTCAATCCTTATTTTGTGTATTTTACTCAAAATTATAAATATAATGATAATATATGAAGAGTTTAATTTAGTAAAATATTAATTATTTATAATTTTATGAGGTAAAAATTAATATGATTGTAAAAATATAATTGTTTAAAATAATATCTAACTTTAAGTATTAAAAAATAGATTTTATACATTAAAAATAATATTTTTTCACTCGAGATCATAATATTAATTTTTTCATATTATATTATATTTCAATATACAATATGATGCTTATGAAAATTATTTAAAAATATAAGTTTAATACACTAATTATATATTACATATATTTTTCTCAAATGTTGGATAATATAATGATTAAAATATTTCTATGAATTTTCATTCAAATATTTATAATTTAATATTAAAATTTTAACTTTTTTAATAATATACATATCACAATCATAATTGGGTAAAATATACAGTCAAATAATTTTATATTAGTCTAACCAAACATTGTAATTTTACATTCCTTATAAACAAATCAAACAAGGTAATACAACATTCTCATAGTAATGTTGCATCCCAGTAATATTATTCTCAAAGGTAATCTTACTTTCCGTGAACGAAACGCCCCTTAGGGTTTTAGTCCATGGTGAACTTATATGTTAGGAGAATAAATTTTTAAAATTTTATGAAAGAACAAATTTATAAAACTTTAGGGATGAAAATATATTATCAATTAAAAATATAAAAAGATATCTAAAATATATACTAATTTAAAATTTTCAAGTGAGACGACTACTCTACCCGTCCCTCATTGGATCCATTATTGGGTTTAACCCATACATTTTTTCTTGTCTTTCATATTAACATATTACACATGACCATTCATATTAAAATATTTTGTATCAATTATATTTAGGGATGATTAGTCGATTCAAAATATATTTTAAAGTTGATGTTTAAATTAAAATGTAATTATTATAATTTTATGATACATGTTGATTCCATTTTAAATGACTCTTCTTAAATATATACAATATGCACACATATTTTTATGGCATTTTTTTACCTGTGTAAGTAAGATTTTGAGGACAAAGTGTTGATGATAGTATAAGTAGCCAAGGATGAGAAGAAATAATTTGTAATTAGTTACAATTAGATGACCAAAATAAATAAAATGTAAAGTTGAAAGATTAAAATGCAAAAACAATATTGTAAAAAATAAGAATTTAAGTTATATAAGTATTATATAGTGGTATAGGAATATGTGGTTCAAAATTATTTCAAATGGACTTATAACAAAGGACAATTTGAAGAAACGAAGAACCCCTAAGAGAGACTAAATTACAAAAAGAGGAAAAAAAAAATCTATATATGTATTCTATAGTGATTGAGGGGTGCGTGGTTAAAATTTGATCAAATAAACTTAAAACGAAAGTGAAATTAAAAAAAAATACAAAAAATTGATACACAATTGAAATACTAAATTGTAAAAAAGAGAATTTGTTGTCAAAAAATGAATTAAAACTATATATGTATTCTACAATGGTTGAGGGACATGTGGTTAAGATTTAGCTAAAATAAACTTAAGACAAAATAAATTAAAGAAACAATGAAATTAAGAACCAAATTATAATACAATCAAATTATTTGACTAAATATTAAAAAACTTTATTTTGATTTTTGATTTTTTTTTCAAACTTTTAAATCCAAACTTGACTCAAATGATAGCTCCGTAAAAAAGATATATTTAGGGTCTTTTCACTTAAGTTATGGATTGTCTTAAGGCACATATAGATTCATATAGATGCATTTATGAGCATATAATTGCATTTGGTGGTTTATGTTTGTCGTGACATTTTATTTTTTAAATGGTGCTATTTTACGGGGAAGATTGTATTTTCCTGATGATGTGCAGGTTGATGAAGCAAAGGGTGAGCATGGAGAATTGCCGTAGCATTCCTAGATGATAAGCAAAGGAGAATTGCCAAGGCAATTTGGGATTACTCATATGCGCAGAAAAAGACAAAAATGAAGAAGATATTTTTATGGGAGCTGCCAGCTGTCCAGCACTCACGTGTTTTCTGCTGCTAACCACCAATGAAGGGACCACTGCCACCTTTGTACCCATTTTCACCTGAGGGAAATATACCCTAGGATACTATATGAATTTTTGCACTAAAACCTAGAACATTCTCATATTATAACCAGAAAAGGTGGCCACAAAAATTAGGGGATGATTCTTTAGAGGGAAAGAGTGAGCTAAGCAAGAAGCGGCTGAAAGTTCTCAACTTTCTTTCCCCTTTCATCTTTTCAAAGGGTTCCTCTATAGCCAAGATCGAGAGAGTGACGAGCTAGACATCCGAGACGAGCTAGTACGCTAAGCTGTCGTTCATGCTGGTCCGAGGAGCAACCGGCAGCGAGCATTGGGAGTTTCCTCCACCCCTATGCTTTCATTTTCATTCAAATATTTAGGTTTTATGGTTTGAATTATTTTTTGGATATTTTGAACTCCACCATGAACTAAACCTTATGTGGTGTGGGTTTTATGGATGATTAAGTATTTGCTTTAATGAATGGTTTATACTTTTATGTTCATTGTTTTGAATTACTTAAGATTGTAGGAGGCATGAGAGTAACAATTTCTTAAGTATATTACTTAGTGTTCAAAAGAAACTAAGTTAAAGATCCTTAGTGTTCGAGAGAAACTAGGGGAAGATCAACATGAACAATGGGTTATAGCGGATAACTAGAGCCTAATCCAACATTAGTGTTATAGAGAAACTAAGGTATGATTTCAACGATTAATAAGAGTTAGCTTTTTCGATAGGTTAGATATTGTTGCTCAGGCCGAGAGGATTTTTCGTGGCATTATTGTCTGTCAGGTTCCATGACTAGAGATAGCATAGGAGCACTCTTAATGAACTCTGTTGAGCAAGTGAACCATAGAAGTTTAGACCATTCTAAATGACAAGGATTAGGATTCCTTAGTAACCCCACCATTCATTCTCATAATAGCTTGTTGTGTGAGGATTATTAAGTTTACTTATTTTCGAATTCTCAACTCGTTTTGCTTTGACATTTTCAGTTATTTTTATTTTAAGAACATCTCCAATTGCCACAACATTTCCATTTACTACATTGTCACATTGCCATCACATTTCCACAATATCATTAAATCCACATCCGCACACATTCCACTTTTTCATAAGATTCTCATTCGTGCATACTACTACACTAACTATACTTAGATTATTTAG